TTGATCATGAAACTTAGAACTTTGATCATGAAACTTAGGACTTTGATCATGAAACTTAGGACTTTGATCATGAAACTTAGGACTTTGATCATGAAACTCGCAACTTTGATCATGTAACTTAGAACTTTGATCATGTAACTTAGAACTTTGATCATGAAACTTAGAACTTTGATCATGAAACTTAGAACTTTGATCATGAAACTTAGAACTTTGATCATGAAACTTAGAACTTTGATTATGAAACTTAGAACTTTGATCATGAAACTTAGAACTTTGATTATGAAACTTAGAACTTTGATCATGAAACTTAGAACTTTGATCATGAAACTTGGAACAACGATAATGAAATTTTAACATGGATCTTAAAACAATAATCATGTAACCAGAAACACATCTGAAACATGAAACTCAGTATACATTAGTGGCATTTAAAGGCTATTAATTAAATCAATTCTCTCTGCTTTAATTAAAAGCGTATCTCTCGTCTAAATCTCATTGTTTATTTACGCTTTATCAAAAACAATTCAAATACAAATGCATGACGTCTAAATTTACAAATTACTCATAGTTGTTTCAAATGACTTGTTTGCGACCTTGCCAAATCATCATCGAATTCCTTCACATTTCATAAGTTCAAATATATCAAAAACACTTTGGCTTTGGGCCAATTTTATTAATTATCCACGCCTGCAAAAACATAATTTATGATTCTTATAAATAATAACCTCAGACATACAAAGATTTCAGTTTAATAAATAGAGAATAGGTATTTCGTAGAAACTATTTATTCATTATTTTTAGTAGTAACTTTAGTTTGTCTTATTCGAATGCCAATCTCATGATTGGACATCCTGATATAAAGAGGAGAGATTTAACCAGAAACTTCGAAGTTTTGTTCATTCGAATTTATAATAAACGTAAACATTAGTATTTTTTGTTTTTAACAGTATGTAATTTGTTCAAATGTTCAAAGCAAACGATTTGATTAATAAGTTCTTTTGATGCATTTTGGCACTGAATCAAAATTTGTTCATGGTGTATGCAAAATAGGCGTTACACAAACTGTTTACAATTGAAAATGCAATAAAAACAATTCTTTTGTATTTTGTGTGCTCAAAACTTATATTGTCGTTGACGATTGTATTTATGTATTTCTGTTTTTTTTTCACGTGTTCACTCATGGACAAAGTAATTAGTGTAAATCTATTTTATGATTTTTCGGACTCCAAAATCTTATAATATACAAATTGAAATAGAAAGATATCCAGAAGAAAAAAAATACTAAGATAGCATATATTATGCAGTTAAATGTTAGAATACAAAAATTAGTTCTGGAGAATTGAAAAATAATTTTTAAGAACATTTTGAAACAGAAAATAGAAAAGATAAGAACTGTTGAAAGAAAAGTTGTATGAAATAGTTATAATGAAATAATTATTTAAAGGCAATTTATTAGCAGAAGAGACTCTTTGATATCAAAATTACCTGAATGAAAAATTTACTCCTAGGACTTCAATCATTTTAGATTAAGTTGGAAGTTTCAAGATTTGCCTTTTGATACTAAAATTTCTTGTTTAATAATATTCAATTCGACATAAAACTTCAGGATTATTTTCTAAGAATGCCAAATTAAAAAAATCCTTACTAGTAAATAATAATATTAAGAAACAAATATTCTTAACGATCTTTCTTGTAGTTTGAATTGGTACTTTAAAGATGGCGATAATCTCCAGAATCGTTTTGAATTGCCAGTTAGAGTTAGAATTTGAGATTTGATATGTAAATGGTGTAATCAACAGCAAATTTTTGAACTTGGATTTTTTCCATTTATTTTTATAAACAGGGATTCTACAGAAGACAATAAACTAACTAGATTTAAAGATCATTAACATGGTTTCAAACAGAACAAGTTTTCATGATGATTGTCCCTTAAAGTTTTTAAGCAATTGGATGCCTAAAAATGAAAAATGGAAAAAAAACAAAAGTAATATCATTGATGATAAGATAGTTCATATCATTACCATTATTAATCAACGAGTTTTCATACTTAAATATAATATATTTCTTAAATTTAACAATACAGAATATTTACTAAAACAATTGGACATAGTAGGGAATAACTCATATATTATATATTATATATTCATATATTAGTAATTTTTAACAGCAAAGACAAATATGAGGTGTTGTGACTTTAGCATAGCTTTGTAGATGGAAACCCAAAAGGTTGTCCTATCTCTATGTGATAAATTTAGTATTAAACTATACTATAAACAATACTATAAATAAATTTAGTATTTAGTAAAAACGTTGTAGGTGGCTAAATGCTCTAAGTAAGCCCGGCCAATAAAAAAAAAACAAAAAAAACGTGATACTGATAAATTTTCTTAATCCACGTAAAAGCCTTTTATTATTATCATTATTCTTTGCAAAATCTTTCAAATTATTATTTTTTCAAACATGCTTTCACAATGTGTACACAGTATTTTATAACAATGAGAGCACGAGTAAACATCTGAACACTGATCAAATATTTGAACAAAATATTGAATATACAAATATTAGGTTTCGCATACATTAGTAGCAGCAAGTGAAATAGAAGTGATCTGATCAAAGGATTCAATTTCTAGTTTTTATTAGCCAAGCGGAAAGATGAAATCGTAGGTATCATCTGACCATGGTTTGATCTATTTAACATTCTGGCACAGAAGACAAAGTATCCGACACTATTTTTATTTATTAGTAGATTGTTATTACTGTTAAAATCGGTTGTTTGGTAGAACTATAAATTTTATATTTATAGCTGTTTTTAATCGAATGTTTTTCACTACATGGCCATAACTTCTTATTTGCAACTCATCTTAAGGATTTTAAAATTAGTACTTCTTACAAAGTAGCATACTCTACTATTAGGGTGTGCTTTTCTTATAAAAAGTTCATGCAATTTGCTTTAGGCATAAGGCTGATTATACCTAGTTTCTTTCATTTTTATGGATTACAATATGCCTATTTTAGCTTGATATCAAATAGTAGTGATATCACATTCACATCACAATTAGAAAAAAATCTCATCAGCAAGCCAACAGTCAACCACTGGGTTGTCTTCTAGTAACACTAGGTTGTAGGAAATACTTTGCTCATAGTCTACATAGATATCTTAGCTATTTTATAATTGCTAGTTTTTTATAGTTTTATGAATGAATCCACCTCATGTATTATAATTAGAAATGAGTATATGAATGAAAAGTGACTAAGCCAATAAGAATGCACAGGCAATCAATAAATCAGAAAAGGTCTTTATTTTCAATTATCAATTATGAATTAAATTGAAAGAATTTATTCTCATCTTCAAATTATAAGTTAACTACATAAAATAATTATCTTAGGATATTTATTTCAATTCCATACCATTTTTCCTAGAATGTAGAATTATTGCTTTAAACGCCTACCTTATGGCGTCATCGTTTATATTAATAAGAAAGCTGGTAGAAAAAAAATGATAATTTTATTATAATAAATTAACATTTTAAATATAAAATTAGAACTATAATCTCAGTATTTTTATGAACTAGTGTAAATTCATTAGTTGAATTTATTACTCATTTTTAAATAATTAGTTAAATAAAAATTTAAATAAATGAAAATTTTAGGAATTGAACTTGAGAACTTCTAATTTATTTGAATTTTTTTTCAAATATTTGGAAAACTATTTAGAAAAATATTTGTAATTTGAAGAAACGAAATAAAAGCATATTAACATCTGTACAATGTAGAGCTGTATGAGTCATATAATGTAAGAGTAATTCACCTATTTCAATTTCTCAAATAAAATCGACCAAAGTGTCTTGTGTTAAAAATGTTAAAGAAAAGTGTAAGGTAAAAATTGGCACTTTTAGTTATACCAAGACCCAAAGAAACATTTAATTTTAATAAAATATATAAAAAAATATAGATATAATATTAAAAATGCCATAAGAATTTTCTTATGTAAGTAAAAAAACTTTTCTTATGTAAAAGGTATAAAAATTAACGGTCATTCTACTTTTAAATTAGTTGTCATATCTCAATTTTGATTAAACACTCTTTAGGGTGGTCAGATTATCATGTTTTAATCGATATACGAGTACACGATGAATGCTATAGCATCCACGTCAAGTATTACGCTTCTATTTTACACAATTTGCTTGCTCAAGCTAATTAGTGTCTACAGGAAAATTCTAGATTCTAGATAATGCGTAAATCTAAAGAATCAGTCACAGGTATAAAAATTAAAAAAAACGTAAGGTTATATAAAAATAAATTCCAAATAGTTGAATTCAAACTTTGAATGCTGTAGCATTCATATCATTCCGCGTCACACTGAAAATGAATGCTATAGCATTCACGTCCGCGAAGGTGTTAAGTGTCCCGTTTTCACTAAAATAAAGAAATTATAAAGTGTAAATAAATAAATAAATAAATAAATAAATATTTTTTGTTCTTCTATTAATATTACATTTTTATTACCATCGGCTATCCATCTTATATAGTATATGTGTTTCATGCTGATTTTCAAGGCGAACTCAACAATAAATGACAAAGTTTAGCTCCGTCTGTTGTTGACCTCATTCAAATGACAAAACCTAATAGAAATACATATAGAAATAATTAATTAAATGTTATGAATGTAATAATTAACCAGAAATGTAATTAATAGCTGCGAATTTTCCTTGTAATTAAGTCGGGGGCTTTTATGAAAATTAGTCAGGGAAGTAGAGTCCTACTTGTTTTATGAAGTACTAAATTTTATGTGTCTTCACAAAAAAGGAACATTAAGTAATTTTATTGAGTAATATTTACTTATAATAATTTATATTATCGTCAGCAATAGTCTCTGTTTTTTAAATAAACTAAATACTTTTACCTCAGTTGAAGATTTTTCGTACATAAATGTTTTTTATGGGTTCTACAAATAAATAATATATATGCAAAATTCTTATCAAATTTTTTTTTTTTAAAAGTGTAAATTTTAAATTTTGAATTTCCAGTGTAATGTGTAAGTGAATAGTGACACTATCTTATAATAATGGACATATATTGGTGATTGTGTAAAAAATTGTGCAAAAACCCCTGAAATGGCGGGTTTTGGATTTGACCAGAATGGTGGAGGAGCCGGCAACTTCGAAGGTGAGTAATTTACACTTATTTTAGTAATAATAATAATTAGAATTGGTACATTATGGTCAATACATATTTGATTAAATTTTTCAAATTATTTATCATACTTTTTATCATAATTGATAAATATTTTTAATTTTGCTGAAGTATTTTGCATATATTAATATTAAAAAAATTATAAAAGTATAGAGAACAGCTTTCAAATATGCATTTGGCATAAGCTCATTAAAATTCAAAGTGGAATATTAAGTTGGAATATAAGTTTAAATTTTTTTCTGAAAAAAAAGTTACTGATTTTATAACAGTTCTCTATTGAAATTATTTTTTGTTAATTGTACAAATAAAGTATGATCAAATCTTTAGATGGCGAAATCTTTAAACGATCACATTTATGATCACACTAAATCTGTAAAGGAATTTTTAAACGACCAATTCCTTGAGTGACCAATTCCTTGAGTGACCAATTCCTCGAGTGACCAATTCCTCGAGTGACCAATTCCTCGAGTGACCAATTCCTCGAGTGACCAATTCCTCGAGTGACCAATTCCTCGAGTGACCAATTCCTCGAGTGACCAATTCCTCGAGTGACCAATTCCTCGAGTGACCAATTCCTCGAATGTCCAATTCCTCGAATGTCCAATTCCTCGAATGTCCAATTCCTCGAATGTCCAATTCCTCGAATGTCCAATTCCTCGAATGTCCAATTCCTCGAATGTCCAATTCCTCGAATGTCCAATTCCTCGAATGTCCAATTCCTCGAATGTCCAATTCCTCGAATGACCAATTCCTCGAATGACCAATTCCTCGAATGACCAATTCCTCGAATGACCAATTCCTCGAATGACCAATTCCTCGAATGACCAATTCCTCGAATGACCAATTCCTCGAATGACCAATTCCTCGAGTGACCAATTCATCGAGTGACCAATTCATCGAGTGACCAATTCATCGAGTGACCAATTTCTCGAATGACCAATTTCTCGAATGACCAATTTTTCGAATGACCAATTTCTCGAATGACCAATTCCTCGAATGACCAATTCCTCGAATTTTTCAATGACCCAAACTTTGCAATGACCCAAACTTTTCAATGACCCAAACTTTGCAATGACCCAAACTTTGCATGACCCAAGCTTTTCAACGACCCAAGCTTTGCAACGACCCAAGCTTTGCAACGACCCAAGCTTTGCAACGACCCAAGCTTTGCAACGACCCAAACTTTGCAACGACCCAAACTTTGCAACGACCCAAGCTTTGCAACGACCCAAGCTTTTCAACGACCAAGCTCTTCAACGACCAAGCTCTTCAACGACCAAGCTCTTCAACGACCAAGCTCTTCAACGACTGAACTCTTCAATGACCAAACTTTTCAACGACCAAACTCTTATATGACTAATTTTTATAATTTATCAAATTTATATTTCCTTTTCTGATTTTTTTTTGACAATTTTAGGTTTGCTTCGAGGTGCCGGACAAAAGTTGATGGGTTATGCCGGTGATAAACTTATGGGAGCTGCCAAGGATGTCGTCGGAGGAATCCTTAATGAGTTGTTTATCAAGAAGGAGGCCCAAAGTGGCAAAAGAATTTTGCCCAGCATCAAAAACATGAAAGTGGTATGTGGAAGAATAATGAATGATAGTAGATAATTTAAATGAAAAAAAATTAAATATACATATATAACTAACAGATTTTTATTTCTATTATATTATATTGTAATTCGTACAAGTGTTCTGAAATAAATGGTCAACAAGTAAAAATGTAAGATTAAGAAAAAATGACGTTAAAACTACGAAATCTTTTAAAACAAGTTTAATATTCATTTTAGCTAGTAATTCAGAAACGAAAATGAAATAAAAAATAATCTGAATTTACGCAAATAAGTTTCGAAATCCAAACTTCTGAAACAATTTTCTACAAATTTCGTAAAATGTTAAATAAAAAATCGATGAAATATTTTTGTTTGTTTGCGTACGACAAACAATATTAATCAATTTCTATTTAAATTTTGTAGTATATGAATAGATTTTTAATTACGATTTATAGTCACAAAATAAAATTAAAAAACAATAGAGGACTAATAATTTTAATATGGCAAAATTTTTTGGAGTAATAGTGAGATCTTTTTATTAGAGAGAAATTTAATTTATTAGTTTGCATATTAAAATTTTATGTCTAAAATATATAATAAACGTTATTTACGATTTATTTAGAATCATATTAATTGGTATATATGTTATTTAAACAAAATTCTTATTTATTATGTACTATCAATGAAATTATAAACATTTGAAGAATGTTTATAAATCTATGGAAATTTTATAACAAAGTTGAAATAATTATATATATAAAATCAATACATTTTCAAACCTTCGTGATTAGGATTAATTTTATTGAAAAAAAAAGAAATATGTATCAGGTGATCGCGCTACTGTTATTATTTCATGTTAGTAGGATATTAAATTTTTATCTGAGCAGTATTAAAATTTAATATTTTTCGTAGAATTCTTTCTAATAATTAGTTTTATAATCACTTTCTTAACATCGATCAGCAATACAAATTCTAACAATAGGAGCTGATTTTCTATTGTACCTTCTAACTAGTAATTTTCTCGAAAATGCACTTTAGATTGAATTTGATACCTTTAATATATCAATATCATACTGCTTGATATTGAGCTGACGTTTTTAACCATTACACCACGATGGTCATGATAAAATATGAAATTATAAAATACATATTATGCATAACAGTTTTATTTAACAACGAATATTTTAACAATTAATTGCCAATAACAAGAGTTTTCATGATAAATTTAAACAATAATAACAAGAAGTAATAACAATATCAGGTCAACAACGGTTTCATTTTTGGAATTTATTTTCCATATATGTGTGCTTCATAACCTGCAATTTAATAATATATATATATATATATATATATATATATATATATTAGGGTGGTCCTTAAAATGGTCATTTTCGAATTTCCTTGCTCCCAGGGGTTCAAATGGTTCCAAATAGATAAAAAACAATTCTCTGAAAGTTTTAGCTCTTAATATTAACGTTTAGATAGAGCGCAATTCAGTCAAAGTTTTGTATGGAAATAGCATGGAAAAATTTTCAAAAATTTAAAAAATGTTTTTTAGATGTAATTTAGCGAACAAATAAATGAATAAAACTCATTCATTTGTCGCTAAGTTATACCTAAAGCATTTTTTTTTAATTTTCAAATTTTTTCCATGCTCTTCCCATACAAACTTTGATTGAATTGCGCTCTATCTAAACGTTAATATTAAGAGCTAAAACTTTCAGAAAATTGTTTTTTATCTATTTGGAACCATTTGAGCCCCTGGGAGCAAGGAAATTCGAAAATGACCATTTTAAGGACCACCCTAATATATATATATATATATATATATATATATATGTATATATAATAGAATAGAATGTATGTAATAATAGAAACAGAAAATTAAACTATTATCCCCATTATTATAAAGGGCAAACCATAGAGTTATCTTCTGTTAAAATTATTTTTGCCTCAAGGCAAGTATAAATACGTGTATATTTATGCTTGGGAATATATTTCTGATTTATGTATTTTCAAGTGCAAATGCTTTACCTGAAAAAAATGTAATAATTATTTTAATTAACTTACACAAACATATCCTTCTGTTGTCTCTTGGGAAACAAACTGGTCTTGGGTAATCATTTGGACATTTGCCTTCACAATCCCAGACATCATCGCACCTTCTATTTGTATTCCAGTACTTTATTTCTTCTCTCTTGGCCCTTCCAACAGCATCTGATAAACATAATTTGCCAATAAAAATTTTGATAATTTCAAAAATATTTATTCAATCAAATTATTCTACTAAAATTTTTGATTCGACTTGTGACAAGTTTAGGGTCATACGTTCCATCATCTCTTCAAGAATTCTATAAATCTGGCAACAGTGTATGAATCAAAAGATGGGCCAGTTGTCTCACGAAGTTGCGGGATTAGGTAAATCAAAAAATTCGTATTTAAATTATATTTTTTAAATATTATACTCACTATTATCTGTATTTTCCTGATTTGGGTCCAAAGCCATAGATTGAACTTGCAGAGCAATGCCCAAAAGAAGTATTCCAACGCACAAAAATTTTGCCATATTAAAATTATTAGTCCTCTTGTTTTTTAATTTTATTTGTGACTATGATTCGTAATTAAATTTCTATTTATATACTCCGAAATCTAAATAAAAATTGATTAATATTGTTTGTCGTATGCAAACAAACAAATATATTTCATTGATTTTTTATTTAACATTTTACGAAATTTGTAGAAAATTGTTTCAGAAATTGTCTTTCGAAACTCAATTGCGTAAATTTAGTTTTTTTTTTCATTTTTATTTCTGGAATACTGGAAACAGTATGAAGATTTTTTGATAGTTTTTATGGAATTTTTCACATTCAATATATTTTGATTAAAAGAAGAGTAAGAAATTAAAGTGGAACTTGTAAGTAATATGTTTTACCATAAAATTAATATTCAGTTGAGGATTTTCCTCCTTAAAAAAATTGTTTCGTTCTCATGCAAATATAGTTACTTTTTTCCAAGTTTCCCTAGAGTAATTTATAGTAATCTCAAAAAAATTGAAAATGAAACTTTTTGCATATGTTTACGTTTCATGATCTACTGAAAATATTAAATAATATATGTATTTGTGTATATGTATGTTTGGATACAAATTTTCGTCCACAATTTAGAAAGCGCGGATCAACTGATTTGAATTATTCAAAAAAACATTCGATTCGTATTGATGCGACAACATGCTGATTAGTTTTTGGCAAAGGCGGGTCTATCCGTTTTGGAAATACTGAACAAAATGTAAGAGTCTTTGTGAAAACGGAATGAATGATTCAAAAACATTTTTCTTGTATTGAAGAAATGATTAGTTTTTGTTGTGTGTATGGCATCGTGCCTTAAGACAAATTGCTGGAACTTCCCGTACCGTAACGAAATGTTTGAGAAATATTAAATATTTAAAATAGATTATTATAAATATCGTAATATTATCTAATATTTATAAGAATTATATAAACTGAATTGCAAAGTTGAAAATATTTGTTTAAAGTATATTAAAACTTAAGTCAGAATTACAATTAAAATCTGAATTATTTTCGATAGACAAATCCAAAATATCAAAAATTGGAACAATTTTTTTTTCCAAAAGCAATTATTTTGTTAAAACAAGCAGAAAGTTCTTTGAATCATTCAAATCGGACGCAAAAAACTGCCATTTTTTGCACATTTAGCTCTGTATCTCCTAAACGGCTGAACCTGCCTTTGCCAAAAATCAGCACATCTCCCTATCAATAGAAATCGAATGTTTTTTCAACTATTGAAAACGGTTGATCCGTGCGCCCGTAAACGTGGACGAAAAACTGTATCCGTACATATACATACACACACACACACATACATCCATTTTTTCTGAGGTATGCCAAAATATTCAGAAACCTTCAAAGCGTAAAGAAAAGTAAAAAATTTCAATTTCGATTTTTGGACGATTACAATAACTTACCCTACGCGAAGTTAAAAAAAAATTATATTGAAAGTGAATATTGGGCTTCAATAAAATTTTCAAAAATGTCCGAAGTTTTTCTTATATAGTTCAAAATGCCATGCACTACTAGTTTAAATTTTTTTATTAATCTTTTTTTTAACATTGATTGGAATTGCGCGTTCTAAGAGCTATGGTTGCTATCATACATTCTAATCTAGCTTTTTTTTTTAGAGTGCAACCCAGTGGTCAACCACTCACTTTAAGTGTCGACTATATATTAAATTTTCACTTATATCTAATAGTGTTGACGTGTATGTATTGCAATGGCCACGAAAGGCAAATTTTCACTAGATTTTATTTGAGATCTATAATATAAAGAGGAAATTTGTAATCATACTGCTTGACATCGACCTATCCGAGGTTGAGAACAATTCCGAGACTAGTTTGTGCTGACCCATGTTCATTAATCACTACAAGTTCATAAAATACTAATTATGCATCAAATTTTTATTCATCAACAAATTATTGAACAATCACTAACTGCCAATAACAAAAGTAGAAAATTTTTCAAAATTAGTTTTAACAATATAATGTTAAAGTGTAATAATAATTATTAAGGGTCTTCATTTTGGACCTTGGAGCTCATCCTTTAACATGTGCCTCGTAACCTGCAATTTAAAAAATTTAATTTAATAAAAAAAATTAATAAAAATTAAATATCTACTACTAATTAGGGATGCTAAATCACCATTCTTATATTGATTAAGTCTACTATTATACGAGTACACATTGGGAAATTCATGCCTTGAAGCAAAGTACCACTTGCTTCTTGAATTATTAGAGAGCAACTTTTAATAGTTGTTCTGTTCTAATTCTGATGATATTTTAATTTTTATCATGAATACCAGGAAGGGCTATTTTTACTTGGCAATATATTTTTGATCAAATTCTTTTAGTGCAAATAAATATAAAAATTCAAGAAACTCACATAAACATGTTCTTCTGTTATCTCTTGGGAAGCAAACTGGATTTGGGAAATTATCTGGGCACTTGCCCTCACAATCCAGATATCTTCGCATCTTCTTTTTGAATCA